TCTGGTATGCTGTCAGCCCCTGGCTTGTTTTTACGGATAACATTCAACTTCTCCATCATCTCTTTCCACAGATGTAATCAATTTGATTCCTGTGTATTCCGTCTGGTGAGGTCCAAATTTATAGTTACCATTTATGTTGTTGAAAAAAGGTATTTGCAATGAAATACATCGTTTGTTTTGCAAAATTCTATAATGCAATGTCTGACATCATTTCTATCACCAACACTTATTTTCCAACTACCGATCCTTCTTTATTTCCAGTGTTTGTATTCCAGTTACTAGTAATTATTAGTGCATCTTGATTACATGTTTGGTCAATTTCAAACTGCAAAAGTTGGTAAAAATCTTTGATTTTTTCATCTTTGTCCTTGAGGTTGGTGCATAAATTTAAGTCAATTTGAATAATAGTCATATTAAATGGTCTTCCTTGTATGCATATGGATATTATCTTATCACTGACAGAGTTGTATTTCAGGATAGATCTTAATATGTTCTGTTGGATGATGAGTGTGATGCCACTCATTTTCACTCTGTCATTCCTGTCATAGTAGAATAAATGTTTAATAATTTTTTATCCCATTTAGATATATCTTAAAAGAACTCAACACTCAAGTCAGCTGTTCTTTACAAGTTAAGCTTAACTATGGTTTTGTTTTGAGAAGACTTCAAAGGATATTTTTGTTTTAAGGTTTAAAGGTTTTCTCAGCACAGTAGTTCTAGGGGTTGATCCAACCTCCATGAACAACCGCCCCCATTTGCCAGAGATGAGAACTGGATGGTGCCTGGTTAATATTATTGAATGTTTTGATCAAAGATTCTATACAGTAGTCCTGCTAAAAAAAGAGAAAATGTGGAACATAATTTTAAACAACAGTAGAAGCCATTTAAGCAGAGGAGTGACCTGATTTGTGTAGATTCTCTGGCCCACAGTAGGAGGTGTAATGGAAGGGGGAAAGGAAAGCAGTGTGAGAAGCAATTGCAAAGTCAAGATGGAAAAGCATGA